AAAAAAAAAAAAAAAAAAAAAAACGTGATTTTCAATACAGTATTTCGAGTAAGGAAATACATGTATCTATTGGATACATTTTTTATATTCATTAGCGTGACTGGAAGCAAAAGGGCGTATAATCATAAGATTCTTAATGAGCATAACCCTTTTTTACTTTTAAAGAGGCGCACTGAGAAATAACAATATGGTCAAATTGATAATTTCCTAACTATTTTTCAGGGTTCCGAAAGGACATAACCGTAGTTTATAGTAAACTCAGATTCTTTACGCTGATCACAATCGTTAGTAATATTTACGACATATTAATACTGTTTGGTAATAGTAAGATCGATCAGCTTCGTGTTTTACTATTTTTATTGTAGATGATAATATCCACCGTAAATTGTATAGTTGGATATAACTTTTCCACTCTTGTGATTGACGAAACGGTCTAGTTAATTTGACCAGATGTGCAAGTAAAAATATTATTCTGAACTAATTGTTGTTAGTTGCTTTAACGATAAAATATTTTTCACCAACTACAAGCTACTTTTGTTTTTTCCACTGCCCGAATAAGTTATTCGGATATTTCAGTACGAAGGAATATTAAACAGTTTACTTGATTCTAAGAGTTTATATCGATGCAGTGCGATGGATCGGACCACCTAGATGCCGTCCGTTAGTAGCTTTTGTCGCCTCTTCGTCTCTTTTTCAGAATTCTGTAACAAATAAAGTTTGGGGCTTATTGGCTCGTTGACCCGCTTGCGAGTATACCGGTCCCTCTGGTGGCCAGTCACTGTATTAGGATGAATATGGTTCTTTTACCCATAAATATGCGACAATATTTACCCTCGACATCCATGGCTAATTATAATTACTATCCGTGGTAGATTTTAATTTTTTCTGTAAGTAAATTTGACTCTTTAAAATTAGTAAAGCAACTTACTATGACGTTAGTATTTGTTACCACAATATTATGACCACCAATTGCAATAGTAATCTCAAATATGCTAAGATAGTTTAACATGAACTAATAATATTTTTACCCTGCTACATAGTTAAGGATATCATTGTCTTTTTTTCTCAGTACGACGGTATATTTCGCGTGCTTCTCATACGCAGGCTACACAGTGTCAAGCGATCAAAAGTGTAACAGAGCAAAGTTGAATTGACAGTGGCTCCATTTTTCGTATCTCGTTCAAACCTTTCAATCGTAATTTAAACAGTAGAAAAATATCACGGACTTCTCTCATTCTAACGTGAACCTCCTCTCTTCGTCGTACATACCTCGTGACCATGGCATTTCCCATCGTTGCGGTTCCGCAAAGCTTTTAGCTTTTAACCCCGGCGCGATAGTTCCGTCCATTGCGGTCCACAGTAAAATGAGAAGAAAAGTTGCGTTGCTTCCGGTATCAAGCCCCTCCCACAATGGGTTGTTAATTCCATTGGACCGCCCTTTTACGGATCCCATTCTCATCCCACCCAGTGAAGTGACAGTATGCTTCTCATTCTACTGTACTACGCTTGGTGGACTTGTGTATTTGTCTCCTGACACAGCGAGGATCCTTGTTCTCCTTTTGCAATTGCTTGCGCGCGAGATTTATCGCACTCGACTTAGCTCTGCGCGTCGCGTTGGAAAACTTTTATGTCTTATGCGATTACTGTTCACTCCTCCCCCC